TATATAGCTTCCTAAAAGATTCACATTCAGATGTTTTAATCCACATCAACACCAAGGCTAGATTGTGTAATGTCATCAGATTTCACAATAGATGTTTTTCTTTTGAGCCATAATCCAATCCAGTGTTGATTAGATTACAATTGACCACCTGGACCAATATTAATGTCCCCTTCTCTAGAGATTTAAATTCAAATGAGTCTTAAGAGACATTCCTCCTAGTTGTCACCCAAGAACTGTTTTTTGGTTCCTGACAGAAAATGGAGCTTAGAATGGAATTAGTATGGAGATGTATTTTGTGTGTGTGTGTGTGTGTGTGTGTGTTTGTGAGGGAGGGAGGGAGGGACGCTTTGTGGTCTGTACAAATGGATGACTCAATCTCTGCCCTTGCCCTGAGCCTCAGTGTAAATGGACCCTGCCTCTCCTCTGGCTAATCACTCCGACTGGAGTTCATGACAGCCTTAAGTGCCGACTGCACCACTGTGTTATTAAATCCAATCCACCAGTCAGGAATTATTTAGGGTGATTACCAAGTTTATTTTAATTTTCATCTTCAGCTATCACTTGGTTGCATTAAAGCAGAGGCACGGTGACTTTTGGGCTTGCTCAGATAAAAGGAGAGCAGCATATCATTTTAGCTGACCGTGAAGGCAATGACACACATAGACACACTCAATCCTGAAGACACTCACCAAGGGTTCAATCTTATGGCCCATATTGAATTACGTCTCTCCACTCCTGTGGTGCAAACTGCTTGGTAGAGGAGGTGACACCTTGCATTTATGCTAACAGCCGAAGAGAAGAGATTGCAATTTCCTGCTGATTCTCCTTTCTCACAGCAGTGGGGATCCTTTCTGCTAAACCATCCCACTACAACGTCAGTCTTCCACCATCTGCTCCCACTAGGCTACATTTTATAGCAAGTCTCAATTTAGGTTGTGCAACATGACAGAGAGATTAACTTTGCAGCTGAAGGGCTAAAGTACAGAGACACATAACTTTCCAAGTTTTTAGGATAAAAAAACCTGATTCAATGATACAATGATGGATACAAATATGATTATAAAGTAACTTTTTAGTCATCTATCTACATTCTACTGCTTTGCAGATCCAGGCCAAGGGAGCTGCAGTCTAAAGACTGGCCTCTGCCTTCTCGGCCACCCCCTGGTACAACAATGTTGACTGAGATAAAGTAAGCAAAGGGCTAAATAGCAAACCGAACATGGTTACAGGTCACAGGATAAAATTTATTACTGATTAAATCTCCCTTAAATGCTATACAAACATTCAGACATCACTGCAGTTGAGACGCCTCAGCACAATGCTGCTTCTTTTCCCTCTATGGGAGTTGAGGTGTTAGCCTTTAAGGATGTTGTGGGCTGAAATGAGAGAGGCCTTGAGCAGTCTGAGTGCTCTAAAGACAACATATGCCCCGAGGTTCTAACAAGCCCTTGCCTGTAGAGGCAACTCTTTTTGGGCGCTTCGGCTGCAGGCTCATCCCGTAGGTCACTACCAACACTTTGAGGTTACAGGTAAAGGTAGGAAACTGATAGCTTGACCTTGAAACTCAGCTTTCTTTTTACTGCAATGAAATGCTACATCATCCACATTACTGCTACGATTCATCTGTCAGTCTCTTGTGTCACTCTCCCCGACTCATGAGCAAGACCCTGAGATACCCTGAAGTGAGGGAGGGACTTATTCCCACACTTTTCCAGCATCTGAACTATATGTGAAAGTGTTAGAAGTCAGTTTGTTTGTCCAAGCACACAGAGGATTTTTCAAGGTCAAATCCTGGTTATACTAAAGGCTTCTGAGGGCACAGCTGGAACATTCATAAACTAGATCACACTCAGGGTAGCTGGAGGTGATCACGCTTTCAGAAATCCATCACTTTGATTATCTGAAACATGGAAAAGAAAACCATAAAGAATACAGAATTCCAAATTTTAAAGTTGTTATTGTAACATTTATTTTTTCCGTAGATTTTGGAACAAAAACTGACCTGAAACATCAGGTTTACATAGTGCAGCTTACTAAAAGTGGTAAGATGCCAAAATTAGAGAAAGTTCCAGAAGCTGAGGCTGCTGCGATGTTCCAAATCTGCCAAGAGCTCCCAGTGGTGGCAACAATTTGTTGACCTGATTCAGAAAATTAAAAAACAACCTACAGTACATCTGTCAGTATATAACTGATGTGGTCCTACACTTGGTTACATGCACTTCTTAGTTAAATCTCCAGTTATCAAGCTCAGCTCTCTCTTTTAATGTATGCTTTTCATTGTTTAATTGTAACCTCTGCTGTCTCTCTCTGTCCTCTTATGGTCGTGGTTGGGCCTGATGACACATGACCTGATATCCCAGTGTTGGTCCAACATCATCATAACTTTGGTCGAGGATCAAGATTGCAACTGACCAATGTGATGTTAACAGTTAACATTAGCCAAGAAGTTAGTTAATACTTAAAAAAAAAATTATTACTAAAAAACCAACATGAGTCATCTAAATTTGGCTAACAGCAAACCTAACTTGATAAAAATATTTATTATGATGTATAAATGAATAAAGAAAACACTTGAAATGCCGATTATTTCTTCCAGAAGAAATCTTTATATCCCTACATTCCTGCAAAGCTATGACATCACAACAATGTTGATCCTGAAAAAGCACATTATGATGCTGCAGGGATATCAGATACGTCAGCTGCCGACAGTCATTTAACACAGCTCTGTGTTAAATGAATATTGGCAGGCTCTATAAAATTTACAGAGATTGTATTTTTTGGTAAAATAGTTACTGACAGCACAACCAAGATTAAAGTGGAGTGTAGAGAGGAGCTGAGAAGGGACAATTCAAGTAAAAAAATATTAACTGAGTTGACGATTCAACAATAAAATAGTGACATGTCGCGACACAGCCAGAGGTTCAAAGGAAAGAGTTGTTGCAGTATTTCTTACAGCTCTTATAACCATAAGGCTTAGATTCAGAAGATTCTAGCCTTTAACTTGGACTCCTATATTAACCAAGTCAGACTCACCAGACATTTAAGAAAGTTCTAGATACTCCCTTTACCCTTCAAAACCAGAGGATTCAAATAACCTTTTTTCCACATATTCAGCAGTGCACCCTAAACACCTGTAAACAGGCTTTGATTTATTAAAACAGTCCACAACAGGATTTAGCCTTTAATTTCCTTCTTTGACGCATTTTTGCTGATGTTTAACTGCACTTTGCAGATCAAGTATCACTACATGTTGAGCACCAGAGAGCAGAGAAGTATATATATGCTTTGTATACAGTACATTAATTACCTTGAGTGTTTCATATATAGCACATTTACTGAGAAACTGCTGTGGTAATGCAGGACCGAGCTTATACTGGAAATTTCATTTCAAGAATTGCTTTAGAGAATTTAATCTTTAATGGCTGTACTGGAGCTGAGCCGAAGAAGCATATGGATTAGTAGTTTATACTTGGTGTTGATAACTGATTTGCATATTGTGTAACACTGCAGTGTAAATACAGACTTTCCACATGATGCAGGTGCAATGAAGAAGAGTGGTGAGAAAGCTAAGTGCTGAAATGCAAAGGGAATCAAATAAATTACTACACATACAGACTCGTAAAGCAATATTTCCAATTTTAACTGGGACTGAAAGTCAGAAAAACAATACACAAAAACACAGCTCAGGAATTATGTATGAATGAATAAAAACAATGGTCTTCTGACAGCCACAGGGAAGCCGACAGGCTAAGTGAGTCAGTGAAGGTGACACAGAGAGGAAAGATTTCATCTCCAACTGTGTTTGTGAGAGAGTGAAAAAATAAAGAGACACAGACATCACAGAGCTTTTCTTTGGCATCCAAAGGGGCAGCAGATGATGACACACTGGTGACACACTAGGATGTTAACAAAAACAGAGATACATGCTGTACGACACACACTCACCAGGCCTGAGGTTTCCTCTTGAGCAGGCCCTGTCTCCTCCATCGAGAGTGGGGGCTGAGATGGTAGGTCAGCTGACGACAAACCTTTTCCATCGCCCCAAGAGAGTCTCCCTCCTATTGAACACACACAGACAGAGGCACAAAATATCAGCTTAATTACAGACGGCAGCCAGAAAATAAGAAAAATTTTGCTTTGTAGCTTTATGTAGCTTTATTTTCACAGACATCAGTTCTATTGGTATTTACATGCCCAGCCAATGACAAAAATTAAGAACGAGCTAGCAAGTCAGCATACCAGAGGACACAGCTAACGACATATTTATGTTTAAAGTGTAGTTTTTGCACCTTCTTGTTAGTGTGTGTATAGTATATTGTTGAAATTGTACTTTTCACTGCTCCTTGCATAATTAGTTTTACATATTTCCAAGGTGCTTTTTAAACTAAGCTTTGTAAAACAGCTTAGGCTAGAAAGACAGCCTGCATTATCAACATGTAGAAAGTGCAAAACTGTTAGCTGATATAGCATCATAACTCCTTTAATTTCTCCTTAAAATATCCTCCTGTTGGTTTAAATGAGAAATTACTTTAAACAAAGCAGCCCCAATATGAATAAGTGATTTTATTAAGGTTACATCTATCGTTTATATCAGGGGTCCCCAACTCCAGGCTTCGAGGGCCGGTGTCCTGCAGTTTTTAGATGTGTTCTTGATCCAACACAGCTAATTCAAATGGCTAAATTAACTCCTCAACATGTCTTGCAGTTCTCCAGAGGCCTGGTAATGAACTAATCATTTGATTCAGGTGTGTAGACCCAGGGTGAGATCTAAAACCTGCAGGACACCGGCCCTTATGGCCTGGAGTTGGAGACCCCTGGTTTATATACAGTTTTTGAGTTCTAACATTTCTTTGTCTGCTGGTTGTGAGATCGTGTCAGTGATACAGTGTAATGATTTTGTGGTGAAGCAGATTTAACACTGTGATTAGTCACTTACTGGTTGAATAAACATTAAAAAAAAGGTTATACTGTCTACATACAAGATTAGAGATAAATATATTATAATATTAATCTGTGGCTCTCTTCCACAGCACGTCTTTTATCCTGTCTTCCTTTTCTTACACCAACCGGTCGCTGAACCTGGTTCTGCTGGAGGTTTCTTCCTGTTTAAAGGGAGTTTTTCCTTCTCACTGTTACCAAAGTGCTTGCTCATAGTGGTCATATGATTGTTGGGGTTCTCTCTATGTACTATTGTAGGGTCTACCTTACAATATAAAGCGCCTTGAGGCCACTGTTGTTGTGATTTGGCGCTGTATAAATAAAATTGAATTGAATTGAATACAAGATGTATACATTTCATACCACTGGAAAAAAATGCTCTCACGTTAGAATATTTATTTGTGATTTAACATTGCATCAGCCTGTAACAGTTTCTGTATCTGTGCTGTCTTTGAGGTGCCCTGATACCAGAGTGGTATCAGATACAAGCATCTAGACCCATGCTATCACTGGTGGCCTTTTTTGCCATTACTGGATTTCACTAGAAAAACAAGTTGTGATATATTTCACAAACAATTCACATGGAGTGTAGAGTAATTGGAAGCATAAGATATTTAATGCTGCATTGATATGGCATCAGATAAAGAGTGTTATCAACAAAACAAAGCAATAGCTACTGATCTATCGTGGTTAACAACATTTCTGTTAATTTCCTGCATTCTTTTGTCAACAGGTCTTTACAGGTTAGTATAATAGACCTTATATAAGAGTTGATTTAGTTTCTGGGTCTAGAAAGCGAAGGCAATGTGGAAGTGTCTTAAATCTGGATACCATTTAATGACCTGCAGGGGTTGATGCATCTGCTGCCAAAGAGCTTCAGGTGTATAGAAGTGAAAACAACCCTCGGGCTCCATGCTCTGTGACCTCTGCAAACATTTCCTTGATGATCTTATGGGAGTCTTAAAGAGGATAAATCAGGGTTTGCTCATAAGCTAATGATTTATTAATCACAAGTTTGATAATGTATGTGAAGTGTCCCTCGCTTTCTCAGTCAGATCCATTTTTCATCATGTCCGGTTTCAAAATGCCAAGATAGCAGCAAAGTACTCAGTTTTAAGCTTCACAACTGGATTCACTAACCAATGGATGTCACAAAGGTTATGTCCTTGTTTAATATACTGTCCATGTTTGGGAGAACCAGGTCTTGGGGAATTCTATACAATAGTACATTGCCAGCAATTTATGCTTAGTATGTCAAAGGAAAGAAATATATAACCCTTTGCTAACAAAGGGCAAGAGGCCTGTTGGTGACTGTACATGTTTCTTCCCTGACCACAACCATAACATTTGATATCCCAGTGTCGGTGTTCTTCCCACATCATCATAATAATATTCGTCCAGGATCATTATTGCAAGTGACCAATGACATCTGATAATCCAGTTAGCATTAGCCAAGAACAAACAATAAACAAATCAACATAGGTAAATTGGGCTAACAGCAAACTTATTGTAAAATTAATAGAGAAAGCATTTGAAATGATTACCTCTGGCCCAAAAGAGAGTTTTATATAAACAAAGGCCCATTTTTCTTTACCACCCACATTACAAAGCCATGACATCACAACAACATGATTGGTCAGTTGCAGTGTTGATTCTAGACGAACACAGGTTACCAGTTCCACCTACACACCGACCACCTAGCAAATCAAAATCTGAATTTCAGTTGTGTCTCATTTGCAGGAGCTCACAAGGATTTTAGGTTGCCAAGGAGCTGCCGACTGGTCCCTCAGCCAGTGTGGCTTTAATAGGCCTCTCCATAATGTATGTGCATCAGTCATCACTTATGAAGCTATTCCACATATGAACTCAAGTGATACATATGCATGTACATTTCAAACTGTATGCAATATGATTTTGATGTCAGTTACGGGTGTTGCTAAGTTGACATGAGGAACAGAGAGGAAATGTCACATCTGACATGGCATCACCACAGAATAAAAGAGGGCAGTGAGGTGTTACAGCAGCCAACAGGAACTGATATAATTCAAGGATACAAGGACCACTGGAGCAAAGAATTACTAAACACACCTTCTGTCAAGTTTCTGATATGACAGGACACGCACAGACACACACACACACACACAAGTCTGGGGACTAGAACTCTACAGGGTGTGCTGATTGGCTGCCCATAATCAAACCATTTGGTGCGCTGCATCACAATCACATTGTGTCATTAAGTCTGAGTGTCTGAATTGCACCTTTACATTCAGTGTGGCACTCTAAAATGTTTTTCGATGAAACAGAAAAATGTCATGTGCCAAGCATGTTCATGACTTTCTTACCATGGTACAGTCCTCCCAGGGCCTCGGATGAGTAACATGTAAAATTACATCTGTTGGTTGTGACGCAAAATGATGGTGACTCATAAATATAAATGTAATCCCAGAGATGGCTTCTTAGTTTGTATCATAGAAACTAGGAAGCAATTTGAGAAACGGTGTCACCCAAACCCTCCACTACATCGTAGCTGTGTGTGTATGTGAGACTTCCACCCACACTGAAATACATTTATTCACGTGGTTAGTCAGGTCCCCTGTTATCCAGTACAAAACAGATGGTGGAGAGTTGGGGGATGAGGAGGGGGGCGTGGGGGTGGTAGGGTTGAGGGTGATGTCAAAAAAAGCTCTTCTATATTCCCCTGTTGTGGGGTGAGGATGGATGTTTGTGAGCAACTAGGTTAAAAACCGAAGGGCAAAAAGTGGAAGGAGAAAAAGAAAAACTATGTTCCTGCTTTTGAAAGTTACTGACTCTCTGCCCAGAGGGGAGCTGATGGAAATATTCATTTCTCAAATTAAATGAAGTGATAATGACTTCCTTTGAGAAACTGTGAACATGTTCTGCAAATGTATGTGTGGTCAAACATGGCAAAAAAAAAAACAAATTGAGAAGGCTTTTTGTTGTGTAAATTCAGATTTTTTGATTCCCGCATGCTGTGACAGAACAAGCTCTTATTTTCAAGATTCAGCATGATAAATGTAACCCACAGTATTTTTTCTTTTTTTTTTTATCTTTTGTTTTGTTTCCACTCATTTGATTTTGATTCATTGATTCATATCAACACTCATGTTTAAATTTGTGCTTTACTTGAGCCACAGTGAGTGTAACAGCTAGCACCTCAACCTGACTGAAATGCTGAGCTGTGCAACAATGAATCCTGCAAAACTCAAAGTGCTTAAGCTGTCACGTTCCCTGTGTTTAACCGGCTGGCTCAGTGAGGCTACAGATATTTGTTACTGTTTTCTCCTACTCTCGCTCTCTCTCTCTCTCATCCTCGCCTGGACCTAGCTCATTGGCCAGCACATCTGAAAACGGTTACTCACCTGCGGCTCATCATCCTGCCACTCCCGACTCACAGCCTTGGCCAGTCGCTTGAGGAGGTACACCAGAGAGATAGAAGGCAAGAGAATAAACCAGCTGTTCTCCACGGAACCAGCCAAGGTGTACTCTCAGTGGCAGGGGAACAATATGAGAACAGCACCACCAAGCCTGGAGGCAGAACAATACTGGAAGAGCATATGGGAGAAGGACGCAACCCATAACGGCAATGCTCAGTGGCTAGTGGCAGACCACAGCGACCTCCCCGAACAGGGTCCAGTAACCATCAGTGGCCGATATCCAAGAAAGGGTCTCCAGTATGAAGAGTTGGACAGCACCAGGCCCTGACATGGTTCACGCCTACTGGCTGAAGAAGCTGACTGCACTGCCTGGCAGCACAAATGAATCAGCTGCTAGTTGACGAGAGACACCCGGAATGGCTAACCGAAGGCCGGACAGTCCTGATCCTCAAGGACCCCCAGAAGGGACCGGTCCCCTCCAACTACCGACCAATAACCTGCCTCAGCACCACGTGGAAGCTCCTGTCAGGCATCATAGCGGCT